CTGCTACGGAAGAGGGTCAAAGTGGCGGTATGGAAACCACAATATCCCTCTATGGGGAGTGGGGGGGGGGAAGGCAAGGAAGTCAGGGAAGAACCCTTTTCCTGTCTCTTCTTCCCTTTTCAAGGGAGAGCATCATCCCGAGAGGGTTTGTTTGCCCTCTTGAATGAGCTCCCCAGATTGAAAAGGCAGCTGCTTTTCTGGCAGGGCTCGAAATGGCATCCTATATTCAGCCACAGGGAAGGTGAAGCGAGGCCGCGCTGGGAGGGTCACACGAGGTCAGTCAGGGAAAACGCAAGCCGTCAGGAGGGCTTGATCCGTCTCTGCCTCTTGGTGGCCTCCAATCCTGCGGGGCCATGTTTTAGTCGGGCCGACCCCTTCTTTCTTTCAGTGTCCCCTTCCCGGCTGTAAGTCTTGATTGTGTAGATAATAAGGTGGCTCGGTGGGTCTGGAGGCGGTTTGCGGGCCTGGGTGCCCCCTGCCTTTCAGCGCTTCCCTCTGCAGGCTCGGGCTTCTCCCAGCTTCTCCTGCAACCGGGCTGTGCTTTTTTATATCCTGGGACCGCCCGGTGCTTCATTTCAGCTGCCAAATTGTGGGCAAACAAACCAGCAATGCCTGAAGTCGATTAGACTTCTCAGGTGGCCAAGCTGTTCCAGTTAAGGAATTTCCTCTTTTAATGAGAGACAGCCCTAATCTGGGAAGTCTTTTTTTTTCTTTAAGAAGTGTTCTGTTGTTGTTTTTTTCTTCTCTCCCCCCCCCCCACCGTTTGGGGTTTCTTCTTTTGACCAGAGGGTTAAGGAATATTTTTAATGACGGCAGGGAGAAACCAGATACTCAGTGGAACAAGACATCCTTTTAAAAACGGACGGAGCAAAAGCTGTTTTGCTCCATTGAATTCTCCAGCTCCATTTCATTTGCAATCTAGTTTTCTCTCAGTCAGGAGGAGCCTGTAGTGAGATACAAAAATGAGGCAGGGGGGAGAGAGAGATAAGTTGTAATAGCAAAATGCAATTACGTGTGTCATGAGAAAAGACCAATAACTCCAAAGAAGTAGAAACATTTCAAGAAAAGAAAGGAGAGGGGGGAAGGAAAAGAAAAGCATAACCCTGCTTCATCGCAGCTCTTTCTTTTTCACCATTGGCAGGTCTTTGGAGAGAGAAAAGTATTTGCAGGCTGATGGGAGGGTGGCGAAGAGGGGAGCCAATCCATAGCTGCTGGTGCCTTGCAATTTTGGGGTGCATTCACAGCATCCTCAAAGTTTGAATTCCTAGCTGCCACTGGGGGCCAGCTTAGCTTCATGTGGATGGGAGTTTCACAGCCTGGGAAAAGCTACTGCAGAAGGCCCTCTCCTCTTTGGGATCCTCTCCAGGCCTGTCTGTGCTCAGAGGGGCATTTATGAGGGCATGCGGTTCTTGAGATAGGCTGGAGCTGAGCGGGAAGTCAGAGCCAGCCCTTGGAATGAGCGTGGGAAAATTTGTGGGTGAGAGAAATCATCTCCTGAGTGTTGATTTTCTTTTGAGAACCTTCCCTGGGATTAGGTTACAGTAATTAGAAGAAAAGTCCATCTTCTTGTTCTCGTCATCATCCTTCTTGGCGTTGGTCCTGAACCAGGGAGAGCTCTTTAAACTTTTGTTTTGCCAAGAAAAGAGCTTTCCCTGTTGCCCACCTCCTGCTTTCATTAAAAATAGCCATTAATCACCGTCATAGGGTATTGGAAGGGGCGACCAGGAGAGCTGAACTAATTGCATTAACGGCATTTCTGGCAAGGTGGTGCAGAACTGGCCACCATGTCCGGCCAAGCGCCAAAACTTTGGGGATGTCACCTCGGAAACGATCTCCTTGGCCGCCTGCTGAAATGAAGCGGGCCATGGGCTTTATCTCCATGGTCTCCCTTGGAGTAAACGAAAAAGAGAGATTTCAGGAGCTTCTCCAAGTTTGCTAGGGGAGCAACTCCCCTCGGCCAGATCCTTAGAGCAAGGAAAACGTTGACCGAGCGTGGTGCGCTTTGTCATATGGCCGCTGAACTGAGTCAGCTGAAATCTAGAGGTACATAACCTCTCTGACTCATCCACCAACCCAGTAACAGCTCACGTGCTTTTCCAAATGCAAAGCAACCTCTGAGGCCACGGCACAGAGATGCAAACATGCATCCTTACGAATTCTGCGATCCCGTCAGAATTCCAGGAGCTGAGGATTTGTCTAGGCCGTGGTGTCACGCAAGGCTATCCCTCCAGATGGCCGGCAGGAAACGTTTGGAGCGGATTGGGTGGTGCTAATTGTTTTAAGCCCCGCATGACTAAGAAGGAGCTGCGGACTTGTGAAAGCATTCCTGGGTCCCTCGCCTTGGCAGACTGACTTGTGAGCGAGGTTGTGAACTCCGGGCCGGCTAAATCCAGATAGGCAGAAAAGCCACGAACCACATGGGGGCTCAGCTTGAGCATCCTTTAAACAATACAGTCAGTGAACTTGTTTGGCCCTGTTTGTCTGGCCTCGTGTTAATAACACAGAACGGCAGGAAGCCTGGAAAGAAAAACTTTGCTTTGCCACCTTTATCAGCCTTGAACAGATGCTACTGCTTTGTTTTGAAAATGTCAGAAATTTGATTTTTTTTCTCTCTCTCTTCAGAAGGAACTCCCAAGCATCAAAAGGTATATAGTGCAATAATCGCACCTTGAAGACGAACTGCTATATTTTAATGTAATAGAGTATTCTACTTGGGAAACTGCTATTTCATCCAACATCTCCATCTGTTTCTGTATGTCTGATGAAGTGGACGGGTCCTTGAAAACTTACATTAAAATATGGTAGTTAGTCTTTAAGGTGGCCCCTGCGTTCCTCTTTTTAAAAATTATTTTGTTTCCCTTTGCTTCTTTGCCTGTTGTGCTTGCACAAACGAACAGGGCTACTTCTTCTAAAACAATGTAACATTGTTACCGGATCAGGAAATGGCGTTCATCTAAATACAAACAGAACTACTGTACGTAAATAAAAGCAATCAAAAGAGTAACAAGTGGTGTGCAAGAGCTGGAGGAACGGTCAAATACCAGCAGTAGGTGAAATGTGGCACTCACCGTGAAAGCTTAGGACAGAGAGAATAGGAGCCCAGCCTCTTGCTCACCTGCCCCCCCCCCAGAATGAAAAGAGAGCCGGCTGGACGTGAGACCCGCATCCTGAATGATCCCTTGACCGCAGGTGTCGTTACGGACCTGTCTGGTCTTCGCCGTTGACTTCTTGGGCCCTCCTCGGTCTTGACCCGTTCCTTGTTGGTTTTTTTAAAGGACTGGAATTTAACGTGGTACACGGAGAACCCGGATTTTACCCCGTGCTTTCAGAACACCGTCCTCGTCTGGATCCCTTGCATTTACCTCTGGGCTTGCTTCCCGTTCTACTTTGTGTCCCTCCGCAACCGCAACAAGGGCTACATCCAGATGTCACACCTCAACAAAGCCAAAACAGTAAGTGGAGCTGCTAGCCCTTCCCCCCCCCCCCCAGGCATTCCTTGTTTTGGCTGCTACAGCTGAACGTGGCTGCCCCCCCCCGGAAGTCTGTGTATTGTGCGAGTGTCAGAGTGACCGTGATGTAGCGGTGGATCGGCTGTCTGATCACCAATATATTATGGGTGCAAGAAATACATGAATAGCCGTTGCAGTGTTATTTTGCTTTTTTGAACAGCCTGGGCACTCCTATAGTAATTGTATGTGTGTGTTTGTGTGTGTGTGTGTGATGTTATTTTGCTTTTTTGAACAGGCTGGGCACTCCTATAGTAATTGTGTGTTTGTGTGTGTGTGTGTGTGTATGTGTGTTTAAAATCCCCTTTCTTTGTATTTTAGGCCATCGGCTTCTTACTATGGATAGTCTGCTGGGCAGACCTTTTCTACTCTTTCTGGGAAAGAAGTCGCCATATTTTCCAACCTCCAGTTTTCTTAATTAGCCCTACACTTTTGGGTATAACCATGGTAAGTGAAAGCAGTTTGGATTCTGTGCTCCTGCTCTGTGATTCGGTTTCGCTCTGTGAATCTTATCTGAATAGCGCTGTGCCATCTATACGGTAGAACAACGGGAATGGCCTGGATCCGGCCCTTGCCTCTGTACGGTGGCTAAAGTGGGGTCTCTTCGAAGACCTACAGTGGGGTCTTGACTTGAGAACTTAATCCATATTGGAAGGCGGTTCTCAAGTCAAAAAGTCTGTAAGTCAAGCTGTCTGTAAGTCAAGGGTCCACTGTATTTATTATATGCGCATCTGAATGATGTGTGACTTTGTGGCACCAGCTTTTTGCTTCTCCACCGCAACATGAATAGATGTGATTCCAGCCTGACTTCTGATCAAATTCAAGTGGGATCATCTTATTTTTCTTTATGTCTTAAAATATTCCCATCCAGGATGGGATGTCCTGGATTATCACTGAAATAACTAAAAGAAAAAAACCCACCAACCCTTCTAAACCAGTGCAAGGTACAGAGCTGAAGCAAGATAAAACCTTGAGTCCAACAGGTTGAAAACCCAGCCATGGTTTCTCAAGGCCTGGATCTAACTATCTGCTGGAAGAAGTCCGCCTCAATGGCAGTCAGGGCAAGTGGGGTGGGGTTCCCCAGGGGAAGGGCTGCCGCCAAGAGAGCCCCTCAACCGCCCCGTGGGGTCGCCTGCTCTCTTATTTCACCTCTCATCCCTGACTCTGAAAATGGTAACTGACCGCGCGCCCCCCTTTTTTGGTTTCTCCATCCGCAGCTGCTTGCCACTTTTTTGATACAGTACGAGAGGATAAAAGGAGTCCAGTCTTCCGGAGTGATGTTGCTTTTCTGGCTTATCGCGCTCCTGTGCGCTGCCGTACCTTTTAGGTCAAAAATCATGCACGCCTCAAGCACGGTAAGCAGATCTCCTTTGAGGTAAGTGGAGAAAACTCCTGGAATTGCAGAAGGCCGCCCGCCGGGCTTAATCATTGAGCTTGTTGTCCTCCTGGAGCATCAGGAACCTGAGCAGTTAATGGCGCGTTAAATCCTCCCTCTTCTGAGGCTTTAAAAGGCCCTAAATTGTGCTTGTTTGGTTTGGTCTGAAGCTTTCTTCAAAGCCTGGCCGATCTTGCCAGAGAGCTATCAAAGCAGCCTGGCCGGCCTTTTGAAACTGCCGTCCAGAGATACCACCCAAGAACAAAGCTGCAAGTGGTCACCGGGGAAGCAGCTTGCGAAAGGTTTAGATGTTTTTTTCCTCCCTTGATAATCTCACAGAGTCATAATGAAGTTGGGAGGGGACTATAAAAAAGGCCGCCGAGTCCAAACCCCCTGCTCCAGGCAGGAATCCAAATCAGAGCAGATCTGCCAGGGGAGGGGGTGGTCTGAATTTCTCTTGATGTGGGAACACTCACCACCTCCTGAGGTCACTAATTCACAGAGAAGTTCCTGGATTTCCATTCACACATCATCTCCTTATCGTCCTAGGCTGTCACAGGACCCCGTGCCCCTTAAATTCCTCACTCAGAACCATTCTTTGGGGCACATGTCCTAAAGCCATAAAAGGAACCTTGGATCAGAATGCAGGCCTGTCTGGTCCAGACTTGGTTTTGCACCCTGACCCACTGGAAGTCTGCGTGGAGCTCCCGTGGGCAGGCCACGGTGTCAGAGAGCGTACATGAATCGCCCTTTCCCCCATACTCGAGAAAACCCACTTGTTTGCCTTCCATTGACCTTTCTCTGTGAATTTGTCTGCACTGGTTGCCATTGAAACGTCTTAAGGCCCCAAGTTCATAACCTAAGCATGGCATGAAGAGCTGCTTCCTAGTATTGCCTAGTTTTAATGCCGACTGCATTATTAAGCTTATTAGAGGAAGGAAACACACTCTGTGGGTTCAGCATAACCCTTCCCTGGACAGTACCCTCCCCCCAAAAAAGGGAAGGAAAGAGTCCAAAAATGGATTCAATATGTCTGAGAGGCGAATCCAGTCATTCTCTTGAGGTTGCATTCTTGGGTATCCTTGTAGTTTGGGAGTTTTGCCTCTCTCTCTCTCTCTATCTCTTTTTTTTAAAGTGGCTCTTGTCTCGCTACCCACACCATGCATTTTTTTCCCCTCTAGCCTGCAGGAGTCGATGTGTTTCGCTACATTACCTTCTACGTCTACTTCTCTTTGGTGCTAACTCAGCTTATATTGGCCTGCTTCCCAGAACGCCCGCCTTTATTTTCAGAAACCGTTCATGACCATGTAAGTAATCAGTTGTGACCGAGGCCATGGAAGGGGGCTTTTATCAGTGACCTTGGAGGACGTGTGGTAGCTGTTTAGGAGGTAAACAGGAGCAACATATATGCAGGATTGGGGATTTCTGCGCTTTTCTCCTGAAATTCACAGTGCCTGAGAATTTTAGTTAAAAAAAAACGCAAACCATACGCCTCTAGTAAATAGTTTCGGACAATTTTGCTGCTTGTGAGGAGTTCCAGGAGACAGAAGATGTCTTTGTTCCCCATTCTTAGTGTTTCCAGAAAGCAGTAGGAGTTTGGGCTGAAATACAAGTGGTGCCTCCTCTTTTCCCCGATGTTTTCCTGTTCCTAGAAAGGTCGCAGTGTGGAAGGGTCATGTCTGTGCATGAGGCAGAGCGAGAATCCGAAGGTGGTCTTCGCACTCAGTAGGAGAAGCTGCGGGAAGAGACACACGAGGGGAGGGTTTTTGGGTGGGCCCAGTTTTTGTTTGTTTGTATATACATTGTCTCTCTGTTGGTTGAAAGGCCGACTTTTTTCTATGTCTTTGTAATGCAGTGATGCACCTATGCTGGGGTACCCTCCTGTGTTTTTTTTTTAAAGGATGCTGCTCCTCTGCTTCATGCCATGAGTCAGTTTTGACAGTTGTAATTCAGCCCCCAGTTACGCCCTTTGTAAAGTGTTGTTATTTTTAAAATGCGATGCACCCCACCTGAAGTGGCTGATGTTATAACGGCTTAGTTATAATGCCGGCGGTATCTTTTCTAAACAAGAGACAGTAGAAAAACTGGCTAGATGAATTGTTGGCATAATGGGGGGGGGTCAGTCCCGTGTTTCGTTAACTTGTGGCTTCCCCCATTCAGACAAAACAGGAAGCTGTCACAAAGAGAGGACTTCCTGGTTGTGGCTACCCTCACTGGTCAGGATAAGATCTTGTTGTTTGAATGGGATCGGCGAAGTGTGACTTCGTCTCTTGGCTGAGCAGCCAGTGGTGGGTACAGATTCCTCTCGGTGATCAAAATGTGACTTGCCCACTAAATCAGGATGGAAAGTTGATAAAGGAAAGGTGGAAAGAGAGGAGGAGGAGGAGGAGGAGGAGGAGGTGTGAGAACCTGCCGGGTCACTTTGCTTTTTATTCTGTCCTTAAAACATGCTGATAGATTCCGGTGCTTTTGGACTGCAACTCCCGGAAACCCTGGCCAGCATTGCTGGTGAAGGCCTCTGGGAGTTGCCGTCCCAAGAACTCCCGAGTTACCCAAGTTGTGGGACACACACACACACACACACACACCCACGGGAGAGATTTCTGCCTTTTAATGAGAGAGATTTCCGCCGGTGCCCTTGAACAGACACAAAACTGAAATCTTTCTTCCCACTTGCCTTTCTGCTTCCCAGCGTCAGTTTTTGGAACAGCTGCCTTTTAAACACCGTTGCTGTATGGTGTCATTACCTTTTTTTTTTTTTTTTTTTTTTGAGGGGGATTTCCTTACTGATCTGTTTTGTATTATCACCGGGAGCAGTTTTAGGATGTATTTTAATGGGGAAAAAAACTTGATCAGTTGCTGGAAACACTTGATGGCTTGTATCCTTCATGCACCCTCAGAGGAAGAAGGGGCTGAGCAGATCAATACCTGGGCCTGTTTGGCAACCTGGCTGTCCCTCTTTCAGCGGGAACCTCTCTGAAGGGGGGAGTAAGAAAGCGGGGGATGCAAACCCCCCCACCTTTCAAATCCTGACACTGGAAGTTTAACGGAGGCAGTTTTTGCTGGGACGGGTGGGGTGGGGTTATCGAAGGCCAACCGCAGGATGTTTGACTGGTTACAGCCGGCTCAGAGGAGCACTTTCACTTTACGTCAGATAGGCTGGGTTTTTTTAAAAGGGGCTGCCTGCCTGCTTCTTTCGAGGGTGGAGATCCTCGGGAGTGCTTCGCACTGATGTAGCTCGGCTGTAAACAAGTCTGGGAGGGCCGCCTTCCCTGGAGGCTGATGATTAAGGCTAAAGATTGAACGCCACATGGATCCCATCATGCGGGGAACCACTGAGTCATTCGGCTAAAACCCAAGAATGGAGGCTGCCTGCTTGGTCTTAAACCCAGACCGTTGCTTGGGGAAGTGTTTTTGTCTGTTTTTAAAGTGGACAGCAATTTCCAGCTTTATGGACCCGATTTGCCTGTTAAATAGGGTTCCCCCCCCTCATTTTACATCAGAAAAGACCCATTTGGGAGACATTCCACCTCCTCTGGTTCCATTCGTTTTGTATTTGGTGGATCGGGCAACCTCTGGAAGATCCTGGGGATTGTGCAACAGGCCCCTGGCCCCTTCAGAAGTGTGCAGTCTTGCATTAAAGGCTGCAGCCTACACATTCCAGGTAGAGGTGTGCAGATTTTTCCAGTTCAGAGTTATTCACACTCCTACGATTAACCCCAAAGATTGCAGAAGGTTTGAAGTTTATTTATCTAGCTTTGGCCATCAGGCGGGTGGGACGGGAACCCCCACGCTCCCTCCCAGGACTGAACACTGCTGGAGTTTCTGATGAGCCCGGCCCTCGCCTCTGTTTAAGTACATAGATAAACAGACGGGCCCAGGAAAGAGTGTGAAGTGTTACTTGCTTGATTAATCCGTTCACATACCACCCACCCAATCTGGAAGGATTTCTCACTTCACGCTGCATTCCAGCTCCTAACTGGAGTCAACAAAAGCTGGCCCTGGTAAGAAGGAGGTGTAAATGGGTTTGGTACGAGAGGGCAACCGTTTCCTGGCAGCCTGTCTTTTTCCCTAAGGCGCCTGCCGCGTCTCCGTGCTGTGGCTTAGGCTTGACCTGAAATAGCCGGGAGGGATGGAGCTCTGTTTTCCTCCTGGGCCTGAGACCGGCTCTCACGGCGGTCCCTCTCTCGGCAGTGTTTCCGTTGGCCTGGGATAGCATCCGGCAGGGAGGGGTGTTGGCCTGGAATGGTCTTTGGCTTGGGTGTGGGTTCCTGTGCGTCTGAGAAAGGGAAAGCCATCGGCCTCTTAGCAGGGGTCAGTCGGGAGGTTTTGAAACAAAATGCGATAGGGGGATAGGCTGTTGCGTAGCGGCTGAGTTCAAGAGACATTGCCAGCCTTTGCTGGCTAGGTGGACGAGTGAAATCCAAAAGCTGGACAAATCTGTGCGTTAGGCACCCGTTTGCTAGCTTTTGGAAGCTCCTTTCGGTGGGGGCTCAGTGTTCGCCATCCAACAAGCATCCTACCCCACTTGGCTCCAGCATTTCCAACAAGACCTTCATGGGCAGGTCTGGATACACAGATCCAGGAAGGAGATTGGAAATGGAAAACAGCCAGGGCCCAGTAAGCTTTGTGGAGGGAGGACGCTGGGGCTCCCCTTAGTAATAGGCTGAATCCTTTTCTCCTCCCTCAGAACCCCTGCCCGGAATCCAGCGCCTCTTTCCTCTCCAGGATCACCTTCTGGTGGATCACCGGGTAAGAGAGAGACTGCGGAGCTGAGCTCCAGCCAGCAGCGACCAAGAGGTTCTGCTTTTTGCCCGTTCCGCTCAAGGTTAGGTCCTCCCTGACCACGGGACGGGTATAGAGAGATCAAAAGAAGCCCTGGCAAATTGCATTGGGATGCGCTGTGGGTGGTGGGCCCATTTCACTGACGGGCAAGCCGGCCCGGGTGAGGTCTTCTCTTCCAAAAGGGCCAAATAAGCCTTGCTAATCGCCCTTCTTTTCCCCGTGCAGGCTGATGGTCCGGGGCTACCGGCAGCCCTTGGAGGCCAAGGACCTCTGGTCGCTGAACAAGGAGGATACATCGGAAGAGGTGGTTCCCGGTTTGGTGAAGAACTGGACGAAGGAATATGCAAAAGCCAAGAAGTAAGTGGGTAGCGATGCATCCCATGGAGAGGACGCTGCTGGGGAAGTCATTCATCTTTTAGCTTAAGGGAAGTCATTTATGCTTTGATGGCAAGTGCAGACAGATTCCTTCTTCTTAATTACTGTGTTGACCGCTTAGTATCTGTTTTACCTCTGATGACAACAAAGATTTGATCAGCCAAGTCCAGAATTCTCTTGCCTCCCCACTATTTTGTGTATGTGATCAACCCTGAATTGCATGGGTTGTTGAGTCTTTTGCAGGCTTGCACAGCCCAGCACCTCCTTACACAAGTGTAAGCCCCGTTTGGCTCAGTGGGGCCTAACATCCCTCACTTGCGTATTGGCAATCTGGAGGTCTTGATTTTGTGGAGTGTCCCCCCCACCATCAGGGCATTTGCTCTCTGGTCCTGACAGCAAGCGGGATCCAGAAATAGGACAGGACCCAACTACAAGGTGGCCAGAATCCTGTTGCTTAGCATCATAAATGGCCCTAGAGTAGGCCCATTGAACTAATGGAGATTTAATGAGTCAACCCCTCTGTACGTTCCCTTGATTCAAAGGAACCTACGACCTCTTGTGCTAAAGTAAATCACAGTTAGAGTAGACCTCTTTGAATCGAGGGAACTTATGGAGGGAGTTGACTCATCAACTCCTCATGGATTCAGTCAGCTTTCTCTGGTGCTATGTACTATGCTAAGCAACAGGATTTGGGCCGTTGAGTGAAAATGATGTATGTGAGTGGCCCTAACCGATTGCTCCTGTTTTCTTTTTAAATTATAAATCACTGCCTTATTTATATGACATTTCTCACTCTTGATGGCTCTCAGTGATCTATTTAAAACAGTATAATAAGGATCATGAGAAACTGTTCAGATGTTGAAAAGTTTATCGAAAGATTTACTGGGGGGTCTCCTGGAAAAAGTGGGTTTTTCCTTTCGAAGATGAGAATGAAATCCTGCCTAGAAGGAGCAACCATAGATGTGTTGTTTGCAAAAACAACAGCACGCAAAATCTGGAGGGGAGGGGGTCTTGCATGAGATGTGTAAGGACTTCTGAACTCTTGGAAGCAGGCTTTGGTTAAGGACCCGCTCCCGTCTTCTCGCTAGGCTCCCGGAGCCGGTGATGTACTCGCCCAAGGCGGCCACCCAGTCGGGCAACTCCCACGGGGACGGCATGGAAGAGGCGGAAGCTCTCATCATCAAACCGTCTCGAAGGGAACGAGAGCCCTCCCTGTTCAAGGTTTTATACAAAACGTTCGGGCCCTATTTCTTCATGAGCTTCCTCTTCAAGGCCTTTCACGACCTCCTGATGTTTGCGGGCCCTGAAATGTTGAAGTAAGTAGAGCGTCCTCTCGCTTCCTTCCAGCGCGGCCAAGCTCAGGGGCTCGACCGAGGAGTTCCCCAGGTCTCTCCTGAGCTGCTCACCGGTGTAGCAAAGACTTGGGGGGGGGGGCTGGGTGTCTCCTTTGGCTTTGCTCTTTCCTTCAGAGGGCTTCCTCTGGTTTCCCCTCTGTATCCTCGCCCACATAAAATCCCTCCGGTCCAGCAATTGATGTTCCCAAGCCTTTATTGTCTGGTCTGCACAGAAGCTTCATTTCCTACAGGTGGTAGACCTTTCAGCCATCAGCTTGGAGAAACAACAACAACAACAACAACAACAATAATAATAAACTTTAGGGGAAAAAGGACTTTCTGCATTTATGGAACAAGATTCAGGAATTTGAGGGCATGACAGGTTGAATTCTCAGTGGCCAGACTCCACCTCCGTACGAATTTCAAAACTAATGTACACTAGAAAAGAGTTTTAGGAAGTCCACCTTTTTCCGGCCTCCTCGG